GATTCAAAGAAATGGAAAGATATCCATGCTCTTGGATTGGAAGAATTAATATTACTAAAATGGTCATATTACCCCAAACAATCTACAGATTTAATGCAATCCCTGTCTGTCAAAATAACCACATCATTTTTCACAGAACTAGAACAAATAATCCTAAAATTTATATGGAATCACAGAAGACCTCAAACTGCCAAAGCAATCCTGAGGAAAAAAGAACAAAACTGGAGGTATACCCTTCCCAGACTTCAGGCTATACTACAAAGCTGCCATAATCAAAACTGTGATATTGGTACAAAAACAGACACATAGATTAATGGAACAGAATAGAGAACCCAGGTCTCTTTTTTTCATATGAGAGGGTTTCCTCAAACATCTATTGACCACTGACTGTGCCTTCATATTTAAGAATGAGACACTGAAAACCTCATTGCAGACTCTGTGTGGGCTTACTGTGTTTACCCTCCAAGGCCTTTGTGATCTGGCCTCACCGTATCTCTCTGACCTCATCTCCTACTGCTCTCCACATTTCTTCCTCCAGCTAAACTACACATTGTAGTTCCCAAGGTGAACTAATATCAAGATTGTTATCACTTTGGGTCCTTTGTACTTACTTGCTATTCCCTCTCTCTAGAAAGAATAACTCCTAGATGTTCACTCAGCTTATTTCTTCACTTCTTTCAGGTCTCTGCTCAAATAACACTTTGTCAGAGAGGCCTTCCCCAATGACCTTCTATAAAACTTCTACCTGGGCCTAACTCTGCTTTAGTTTCCATTGGTATTATTGCTACCTGACATGGCATCGGGGTCATATGCTTTGTTAGGTTCACCAGTATACTGTATTTATTTATTGTCTATCTTTATCCAGAAGAATTAAAGCTCCATAAGGTCAGGATCTTTATTTTGTTCACTAATTTGTCTGTTGTACCTGAAGCAGGGCTGGGACACTAGCATGTATTCAGTGCATATCTCTTGAATGAATGAATGAATGGACGGTGGCCTCATTGAGCATGAAAAAGCTGGTATCTGGCCATTGTGTTGGAAGATACCTAACTTTCATTCTCTTCAGATCCTTCTTCTGGGCCATTTTCCCTGCCAGAAGGGTCCTAGCTGCTAGTGTTCTTGGGATTGACTGGGGGAAGCAGATCTTTCACCTCATCCTTCTGTTTTCAGCAAGATATCCCAGTCATCTTCAGTGCTTGAGTCCTTATGTGCAGAGACCTTTGAAATAACTTCTTCGGAGGGAAATTCCTGGTTTATTCTGGTGAGGTAGAATAGGAATCACCTGGTTGTGTAGGGGCAGGTGACGGAGGGGAACCTGGTTGCCTGTTTTAAACCCCACCCACACCCTTATTCTTAGATGTACTAGGTATCTGATTCCTAAGCCATTATGGGGTTCTGTAGGGTATTTCACTGTGATGTGCTGGTAAATGTTTAATTGGCTCTCTGGTGGAAAAAGTCCTGATTGGTAGTGTTTGTTCATTCCCATGATGTAAATATTCCCACCATAGCTGAATTCAAGCTACCATCACAGCCTCACTGAATACAGAGTTGGGAAGGGTTGAGCAGCAGCACATCATTCTTCTTACCTTACAGACACAAGATGTTAATAACTTCAAGAGCATAGATAGTAATAAAATGTAGTAAAATAATTAGGAATGAGGAGTTTTTTTTGTTTTTGTTTTGTTTTTTGGCTGTATCAGGCCTTAGTTGCAGCACACAGGATCTTCTTGAGGCATTTGGGATCTTTCATTGCAGCTCGCGGGCTTCTCTCTAGTTGTGGCCTGCAGCTTTTCCCTCTCTAGTTGTGGCGCGCAGGCTCCAGGGCGCGTGGGCTCTGTAGTTTGTGGCACACGGGCTCTCTCATTGCGTGCAGGCTTAGTTGCCCTGCGGCATGTGGGATCTTAGTTCCCTGACCAGGGATTGAACCTGCGTCCCCTGCATTGGAAGGTGGATTCTTTACCACTGGACCACCAGGGAAGTCCCAGGAAGTGAGGAATTTTGAGCATTTATTACTTTTGTTTTAAATATAACTTATTAATTGAAATTTATATAATTTAATGTTTAATAATGATTAATTTTAACCAGCTTGTAAAATTCTTAAAAATTTAACAGTATGCTCTTGTGAGCTGGTATAAGCCGGTTCCAGCACATGTCATCTTGCTTTTGGCTTCCCTTGCCTCTTGTAGGCTTAATTTTTCGATACCTTGTGTCTTCTTCCTCCATTAATTATCTCTTGCTCATCTAATTTCCAGTTTCCAAATTTTGTTGATAGCTCTTTTCTGCTGTCATCTTCTTTCTCATTTGCATTGTCTTATTGCGCTTAAGCTTTACTCCAAAACACCCATTTAATGCCATTTTAATAGGTTTTCAGGAGGTGGTCAAGGTAAATGCATGTGATCAGACTGCTTTGTTTAACCAGAAGTGTCTCCAATTAGAATTACTTTTAATTTCTTCTTGCATGTATGTGCTTGAAAATGTACATTGTGACTACATTCTTTGGCCTATATAGATTCTCTCCTTTTTTTTCATTTTTACTATTGAATAGTTGGTGACTTTGTATGGCTCACATAAAATTTTAGTATAAAATTAACTTCATTTATTTCTATTGCTTAATGTACTTTTGGTATGAAAATTGATTCATTTAATACCACAATAATAACTTATAACCACAAATAAGTCACAGACATTAAAACATAGTAAAAGTTTTAGTTTCAAGAGTGTTTGTTTTGGGTAAAATAAGGTAGTAGTGTTTTACATCTATCAACATGTATTTTTCTTTACTGAGTTAGTTCATGACTTTATTCCTGGTGAGCTTATCATCTGTCTTGAGGTAGAGGGGTGGAGGAGGAGGGAATTATTACAGCAGGAAAGAAAAATAGCAAGAAAAATTGTTTAGTTTGTTTAACTTTGAAGACAAAATATAGGCTTGAAAGTCATAATTCATTGTGGGGAAGAAAAGGATTTTATAAATTCCTTTATCTTACCCCTGTAATACAACAAGACTCAGGTTTTGGTTGTAACTGAGACCCCATGATGTCTCCATCTTTGCACAACTTGGTGGTTCATCTCCTTCCCTTATGAGAGAGATCCCAGTATTCTTTCATGACCAAGATAGTTCAATTTGACTTTCTGAAACTAGTTGCCGATAGTTCTAAGTCTTTTCAATTTTGAGGGTTTTTTTTTAAACCTGAACTTTGTGGATCTCGTTTCCACACGATAGCTGTTTATCATTAATATATTTTGACTGAGAAAATACAGATGGTCAAAGGGATATTATGAATTGAGGGATGCTTATGAATGAACTTTTATCACATCAACATGTGATACAGTATTTGTAAAATAGATGTACTTGATATCCAAGACATTTTTTCATTCATTATGTAAATGATGCTTGGTGGCCCTACAAATTTGCAGATTCCTTGAAATAATTCTTAGCTTCACCCTCCTGCTCCCAAACCCAAAGTTGCTTAGTTCACAGTTTGGCCGAGCCAGTATTTTAGATTATCTTTTTCCCAAAGTCATTCCCATCTGAGTTTTTAAATGAGCTCTTTCTTGCTTTTCCACAATGCCAAATTGTGTTTATTCCAGCTTCTAAGCATTTCTTGACTCCCTCCCCTCTTTTTTGACACCTCCTGCCACTACTGCAGTCCAGGCCCTGCTTACCCCTCACATGTACTGATGCAGCAGCCTTCTATCTGGTCTCTTTTCTTACTGTCTGTCCCTTCTCCACTCCATTCTCCATACTGCAGCCAGAGTGATCTTTCTGGTTGTGTCCTTTCCTCGCCTGAAATTCTGCTACTCATGTGTCCCATCATGAGACATGTTTGTGTTCTGTAAACACATCAAATGCACAAGCTTTTGTTGGAGCCAGTTCTTTTGGTGGGAACAGTCTTTCTCCTGTACATGGTGAACTCAAGCTCAGCTCAGATGTCCCTTACGAAGCTTTGTTACTCAACCCCCATATTCCTCCTGGCATCCTGTAGCACTTTGTACAGGCTTTGGTTATGGACTTCTCACACTGTGGGCACTTTGGGGATAGGGACTTTCAAGTTGTGTTTGTTTGTATCCCCAATCACCTTGAACAGTGCCTGGTACATGGTAAATGCCCAGTGAATGTTTACTGAACACACTGATGTGGATTGGTATGCTTGTGAGCATGGGCCTTTCTTTGAGACTAGCAGGAGTACAGGATTCTATGTAGTGGGGAGATATGGAAATGGAGTGAGAAAAAGTGTGTTAGTTATTTCCCAATTCTGTTTTTCCCATTTCAATCTCTTCTGAAATTTTTTCTCTCAAATAAGACTTTATTGAATTTTTCTGATCGCAAAAGCAACACATAGCATAGTATTTACAAAGACATCATACAGGTTTGAATTCAAATTTTGCTACTTATTGGCTGTGTGCCTTGCACATAGTACCTAACATCTTTATGCCTTAGTTTTCTCATCTGAAAGGTGGGAGTTATTCTAATAGTACTTACCTCATAAGATTGTCATGAAGATGCAATTGGAAAGTGCACGCAAAGTGCTTAGCACAGTGTCTGGCACAGTAATTGCTCAGTAAGTATACACAGCTGTAATTGTTATGGTCAATGCAGAAAAGGTACAGGTCTGTGAGACCTGGATACAGCTGGAGCCCTAGGGCCCAGGATCTTCCTGTGTTACAGTAAAAGAAAACACAAATCTGACTGTAGAAGCCTTGCAGAATAATTTTGACCTTTTAAGATAGCCTTTCTCAACCAGGGCTCACCTGAACCACAAAACTCTGCACTAGAGTGACTATTTTTTCTCTCCATCGAGGATGCTATGTAGCTAACACTATTCTAGATGCACAGGAAAGTTAATTCATTATGTACAATGCATGATGTAGGAACTGAGGCTCAATCTCCCCACCCTTCTTTAAGAAAGGCTGCTCTGATGCTTCTTGAAGACTTGGTGCAGGGACTCGGCAGAGTGCATCAGAGTCACATCCTCCTAAGTCCTCTCTAGAAACCTCTCCCTTTCCTTGAATCTTCTCACTTATGGCAGTTGTTAGAAATCCCTCCCTCCTTCCTCCCTCACCCATATGATTTGTTCCTAGAACACCATTCATTTGTTCCTTCTCCATATTGTGCTCGCCACATACCCAGTAGTTTCTGACAGGTGTCCCCTTAACTTTTTTTGAAAGACTAACATGTCTCTCCCCATCCCTGTGTACCCTCTTTCACCTCTGGAATTGCAGTGAAGAATATCTCCAAGAAAATTAATGCCAGTAACTGGATTACAGAGTAGTAAACATGACTGACCTCTCTTTTCTTCACATGCACTTTTTAAAGTCATCTAGATCCCTTGCTATTGTCAAACGCCTCTCCTTAACAAAAATTATAGAATTATCTAGTCACTTAATCTAGCTGTGTCATATTTGTGCTGCCGAAGCTCCTGCTAGACTGTGTATGGCAGAGCAAGTCTGCTCTTCCTGGTGCCATTCCATTTTCTGCTGCTCTTCAGTGCTGACAAGGCTCATGCTGCCTCCCAGGAAGGCAGTGGGCACCTTTTTTGTGGGGAGGAGGGATAGGTCATGATGTCTCCTCTGTTAGCAAGGAAGAAGAATACTGGGTAAGCAATTACTAGTGTTTACCACAATTCATATAATGGAATATCATATAGCCATTAATTTTTGAATAATATTTATTGACATGGGAAAATGCTTACAATATGTTAAAGAAGAAAGCAGGGTACAAATCTGTAAATACAGCATGATCCCAATCTTGTAGTAAAATAAATTATATATGCATAGAAAAAACACAGGACGGAAATACACCAAAACATTAACAGAGATTATCTCAGGTGGTGGGTTTTGGGGTGAATTATTAACTTTATTTCCTGTATTCTCCAAGCTTTCCACAATGAACATATATTACTTTTATAATGGCGGGGAGGGGAAGGGAGGTCAATATAAGAGACACCTAGTACTGGGAGGCGGCAAGACTGATGGTAGTAAGGGGATGTTGAGTACTTGTACTGCCTCTGCCTATGTCTTCATTTATAAAGGAGGGACAATAACACCCGTCCTGTGCACTTGCCAGGACCACCCGGTGTGTGAAGGGGCCTCAAGTGTCTGTTGACTGTTACTCTAAAGCAGCAGCTCAAGCGCCTTATTTTAGAACCCGCTCCTCCATACCCTGTTTTAAAGGTTGGGAGGGATGTGGACACAGGGGCCTGCAGAGTGCAGTTGGCCAGTATATTCTCACCATCCCCATTGCAGGCCACCGAGCCAGGCAGATGTCGAGGGTCAGGGTGGTTGGGGCGCAGGGGCTGCGGGGGAGCCTGCAGCCCTCATCTCTGACCTAAAGGATTCCAGGTCCTTCCTTATTTGAAATCCAGTACTAACTGAGCAAGTTTCCTACTCACACTTCAACTTCATTCAGGTCACCTCCCTGCTTAATAAGTTCTTTAAACCAGTTCTGCTGAAATAGTTATTGCTTAAAATGGCCTGAGAATTACCACTCTCCCAGCATTCCAGAGTCATAAGGGGGCACAACATGGACCCAGGTGGGCAGCGTGAAGGGTAAGGAGAGGTGCTGGGGGTCAGGCCGGCCAGAGTTGGATTTTTACTTGCTCTGTGATGTTAGGTAACTTACTTTGCTTTCCAGAGATGATCTCTTAATATGAGATGTGATGACGTTACACAAGATAAGATACATAAAAAGCCCAGCACAGAGCAAGCAATCAACAGATGTTAGTTCTCTTTTCCGTGTGCAAGATGAGGTCACTTTCATCTTCTCCCTCTGCAAATTCTCTCTTCAAAACAAAGCTTAGTGCCCAGTATGGGGAAACTCGAAATGAAACAGAACTCATTGAAAGCAGAAGAGCACAGCTACTTAAACAGGACTGTTCAAACACTCTGCATAAGGCTGGCAAGATGGTATTTCATTAAACAGGTCTTCATTTAGGTAAGCCGACACTCGTGCCAAAGCTATTTAATTGCAGAAATTATAAAAATACTTTAAAAATGCATTTGTAGAATGAAGTAACAAAAATACTTAAATTCTTTTTTCTAAATTTTTCATTTAATCTAAAATTATGAAGTACCAAGTTTCATTTTATTTACTGTTAAAACATGGGTCACACATAACTTATACTCCCAACTATTTTGGATAAAAAATCCTAAAATGTATTCTTCCTAGTCTTTTTATAGAGTATTCTTATTTTTTAAAAGAAACACAAGGTCATCGTTATGAGAATTAGTTTATAGGCCATACTGTTGTACAGATACTTTCTGGGTCAACTAGAATGTCCTTTAGGAAACAGATGGTCCCAGACTTATGACGCCTTGAGTAGTTTTCATTCTCCCCACGTTCCTATCCGGTTTTCAGTTGGCTTTTTGCTGCTTTCAGTAGGTCTGCTTTCCATCTAACAGCCTCCTCCTTTGCCATTTTTTTCGTGGGCTTGGAAGTCAGATAACTAAACATGTTAGAAGTATATGTAAATTTTAGTAAAGAGGCACAAGGTGAGATTCTTGAGGATCTCTCCTATAAATAAATTGTAAGAAACTTTGCCATCTCTTTTGGCAGCTCTAAGGCTTTTTAAAACTGAATTCCTGATTTGTACTTTTGCCAGAGAAGTGACTTCTGGATAAATGACATTTTCACTAATACTTCATGTACTTTATCCTTAGAAAGGCTATTTATTATAAGTGAGATAACAGATGTAAAAGCACTTTAAAAAAGCATAAACTGTGAAATAGGATTGTTTACCCCATGTATCTATAAAGAAACACACACAGATAGCTAAATTGAATCAACCCCAATGTTTTATTTAATTTAAAGTTTTAAAAGGCAGTGGTTAAGCACATTATGTGTGTATATATATATATATATGTATATACATACATATATATATATAAAAGGAAACCAACCCCTTTTCAACTTTAGCCATTGATTAACTAGGCCCACTGTCTATTGCATGATTCATTTTCTACTTCGTCATATGACCAATTCTAAAAGTAAAAATAAACAGCCTTAATCAGTTTAACAGTAACTATTTGTGTTTCTTTTTTAAATAAATAAAGTTACCATTAAACTGATCACATATGGTAGAAAGGTAGGACACACACACAAGCACACACACTCCCCAATTTAAAACATGTGACATATGAGTGACCTATATGTACAAATGGGTGCTGCTGACTCCCCCACCCTCAGCAGAGGGCTCAAAAGGAAACCCCGTACCCAGGGGGTCCCCATTCCCTCTACCAGGTTGGAGGCACCCCTATGTTAGACCTCAGAATGCATGTTCCCCACGCAGTGATACAGATGGGGGTTCAGTTCTATGGTACTAGTGTTCAGGTTATTAGGGAATAAATAGGCATTTGTAGCTGCCTCAGAACTAAACCATCATTTATAACTTTATAGGGAGAAATGTATTCTGAAGTTCTAGATAACTGACATACAAACTTTTTGAATGTAACCAGTTTGCAAGTCTGGGGCTGTTGTGTGTGTGTGCGTGTGTGTGCATTTCTATAGATTTTATACAAAATTGAAATGAAGAGTTGGGGCTACGTTTATGGAGCAGCTGCTTGGCTTCCATTCACTCAGTCCTGATCTAACAAGTCACTTGCCTCAGCCCCTTTTTAGCAGCTGTTCTGCTTCTCACATGCCTCTGTCTCTGGAGAGATTCAGAAAGGGCAGCTCACACAAGTGAGAGGAAGGACACGGCTAAATCTTCTTTAGAATCTTGGCAAACATAACTGCCAGATTCAACCAGGGCTTGCTTTATAGAGTGAAGTCCTTCAGTTCCATCTTGACAAAATGGAATTATTTTTTTTTCTGTTCCTAGTCTCTGCAACTCCGTCTAACTGCAGCTCTGTATGAATGCCTCAATATCGCAAAACACAGGATCACTTCTTAAATATGCTGGATTCTCAATGAGTAAACCAGTTAATGTGTTTCTAGCCAAAGCAAGGGCATAAATGTTTTAGAGAAAAGATTCCCCTGGAGCTACAGAGAAAAGATGCTGATAAAAGCAATACTGAGAGTTGAGCAGGTGATGCTTTTAGTCTGTGTCAGAGCTGGTCTCCTCGATGACAGAGTACTGGTTGAGTGCTTCCTCCAAAGGCGTTATTGTCCCATCAGGTTTTAGTCCCATTGGTTTAAGCAACTCCTCTCTGGAAAAAAGAGAGAAAAGAAAGAAAAAAAAGTATTCACCAGCATCACACACACCCCCTCCCCCCACCCAAATCCACATCCTTTAAAAAAAAGAAGTCTTTAAAAATCAAAGTATTTTTCCTCAAGCTCTCTCTGTGTGTTTGTAACAGGAAAGATGAAAGAGGTATGGAAAGAAAAAGAGGGAGATAAAAGACTTCATTCACACAGGCCAAACCTACTAAGCCAATTAAAAGTATGAAAAGTCAAGGTCTAAATGGGCTCAGGACAAGGAGCAGGTCTCTTCTGTTTTTAATAATTTTTTTCCTTTTGTGGATTTGTTTTAGTGAAGTTGAAGCTGCCAAAATTTCACCTGTCCCAGTGGACCAGGCATATAATTAATGGCTAATTTGATATGTATGGATTTCGTTTAATGGAATAAATCGTCATTTGATTTTTGCCTCTCCAATCTCTAGTGATACATAAGTACTTATTGATTTCAAATCATTTGGCCTTCCCCAACTTTCTCCCTCCCTTTTCTTTCCTCTCTCTCTCCTTATTCTTCTTCTTTTTTAAAAAACACCATTGCTTTTGTTTGTGGCAGTTTAATTATGGGATTGACAGCCATTTTAATCTCTTCAAAGCTCCCCAACTGCCTCTTTTCAGCTAATCCAATTATATCTACTCCACAAGTTACAGCCTCATCTAAGATGATTATTGATTAAGCCAATCAAAAAGCATTAAGAAAGATCTTTTCATAGGCTCTTATTTATTGTATAGAGATTATGTCAAATGTACATGTTGAGATGCTAACTCTAGTCTTCCTCCCACCCCAATAAGTCAGCAGTGTACTTTAAAAGGAGCCTTGAAGAGGCACATGAACTGCTTAAAACTTACTTCTCACAGAAATGGGCATCACCCCCTAAAAACATGTCTACAGGAACCAACATGGCAGCAGTTGTAATGCTGGTGGGAGTTGGAGTGAAGGAAAATGATAAAAACTCCTCTCCCTCTGCTTCCTTGCTGTTGTCCCTTAGGCCAGAAGGGCTCCCCTCGGAAGGGCCGGCCACATAGCAGTGTGACGGTGTTATAGCTGCAGAGAAACTTCCTGGGGAAGGGGAAGAACAGCTCAGTGGTCACTGGATAAGTCAACAGGAACCTAATCAAGCAGCTCTGGCTGGTACCAGAAGACTATTGCTGGGAGTCTGAAAACTCTCTTTGAGTAATGTGGATGGTTGACTGGTTGAGGCTACTAAATATTATAAAGTAGGAAATGTGTTTCCTGATCCAAGAAATGGGGTCAGAATCATAGAACTTAAAGTTGAAGGGGCCTTAGAGATCATTTAGTCCAACCCCCTTGTTTAATAAAGGAGACTGAGTGACTTACCCAAGGTCACATATCTAGTGGCAAAGTTGGACCTGGGACATAGGCCTCTGAATCCCAGTCCAGTGCTCTTTGCAGCACACACATCTGGATTAACTGCTATAACTGTACTGAAGGAACACACTGAGTTCAGCTGTTCAGGGACTATGTGCCAGGAACTGTGTCATATACTGGGAAGAAAAGGAAGACTAGGCACAGCTGCTGCCCTTGAGGAGTGAGTGAAACATATACATGAAAAATAACTTAGAACATAATGGGGTAAATGCTGTAACAGAATCATGAACAAAAGAAATAACAGCTCCTGAGATGAAGCATCAACCAAATTGCCTGGGGAAGGTGGGAACGGCACCTCCAATGAGGTGTCCTATGCCACGCGAAGATAGTACAGAACTTTTCAGGCAAAGGAGTCTGTGTGGAGGGCTCTGTATAGTCCCAACTACTTGTGATTTTTTTCTGTAGACCTCTTTGGATTGTGTCAATTTCTTTCTCGGCTCCCATGAAACTGGGGCAGGGCCCAGTGTTTGGGGAGTGGCGAGGTTCAATGAAGGAGAGGGAGGAGGCAAGGCTGCAAAAAGGGTAGTTGGGGGTCTAGTGGTCAGGTGTCTTGAATGCCAAAGCAAGGAGCTCGGGTCTTAGCCTGTAAGGAATGCCCTATCAGGTTTGCTTTATAGGGAAATACTCTGGCAGCAGTGCAAAAGACACACTGGAATAGGGGAAACTGCGGTGGGGAGACGAGCCGTGAGGATGTCACTGTAACAGTAACGGCATGAGAGGAGACACAGAGCTGGATCATGGCTGTGGCTGTAGGAAGGAAAGGCCTTCCTTCCAGGGCAGAGCTGTGGTCCGCTGGAAGGGTGGAGGTAGGGGGTGAGGAGCAGAGCGTGGCTGTGGCCTCGCTCCGATGGCCACGTGGGTGGCGACCCGCTCGCTGCGGCAAGAGCACAGCAGGTGCAGCAGCTGGGGGGCAGGGGGCAGACACTGACATCTTTCAGGACAGCGAACAGCTCTGCATGACAACCAGGGAGAAATGCTTAGAGGAACCAGAAAACAATCTGCTTCCACTGAAACTTCTCTTCAGCACACATACATACTATACATATCTATACTTTAGTAACAGTTTCCTAGTTCTGATGGTGCTGAAGGACTTTGTGATACTGGACACTGTTTACTAATAATCGATACCAAAGGAGAAGGGGATCACCTTCTGGGGTGAAACATTAAGGGATCAGAAACTTCAAAGGTCTGAAGGGGCTGGTGGACTGAGGGTACAGTAAGGTGGGGGTGGGGCTGAAGGGTATGGGTAGGTAGAAGTCTGATCAGCAGATGAGACTATAGGAATTCTACCAAGATAGTGAATTGCTGGGTGGATATGCCATCACTCCTAACACTCCAGCATTTCTTTGGTAACAGGATGATATTGGAGCTAGCTGCCAGCTTGCACAAAGTAGCTAGCACTTTCTCATCCAAACCCAGGAGGAATATTTTCAAATCAAGTCCATCGATTTCACCCCTACTCCCTAATCCAATTTTATAACAGAAATAATTAAGAACATTACAAAAATTTTATGGCCAAATTATGGGAATTCATCTATAGAATAAAGGGGCTCATATTTTAATTCTCATTTGTGAACTATTCTTCTCAAGGCTTTATTTTTTAGGTCTTCTGTATCACCCCTCTACTAACAAACATAGAAGCTCCTCTGAGGGTATGAATTATTGTCTTTTCCACATGGCTCCATGCGATGCTTGGTCTTACTGACATTCCTGTAGGAGAGGTGTCAGTGGTAACTGGCCACATAATCATGCATTCGTGCAAATAAATTAAGGCAGCAATGTGATATAGTGGAAAGAACAAAAAGATCTAGAGTCAGGAAGTCTGTCTGAAGTCCTGGCTCTTCCACTTACCAGTTGTGTGATCTTGGGCAAGTCTCTGAGTCTCTGTATTCCCATCTGTGAAATGGGGATAATGATACTAGCACTACCTACTTCCTAGTGATGACTTAAGGGGTAATAGTACTAGCAGTGGTAGTAGTAATTGCAATAATTAATAATAGTGCAGATGAAAGAGCTCTATGAACTGTAAAGGAGTCCTAAATATTAGTTATCATTATTGTGGTATAGTGAAAGGCATATATAGGTTTTGGAATCAGACAGACCTCTAAGTTCTAATCCTGGATCTACCACTCACTAGCAGTAAGACCTTGAACTCTCTGAACTTCAATTTCCTTATCTGTAGAATTGGGATAGGAATACCCAGTTCACTGAGTTGTCATGAGGGTGAAAGGTCATTCTACATAAAAAGTGCATAGTGCAATGGCCGAAATGTAGTTGGAACCCACAAGATGCATTTCCTGTCCCTTATGTGTTTATGGAAGGAAGGTCTCCACAAGATTGTTAGGGTACTCTTTGGCAATAAGTGGGAGAAGAATATGCAGAAGCAAATAAAAGACATGGTCCCTGTCCTCAAGAAGCTTTTAGTCAGTTCAGAAGGTAAAACACACACACATTAAACAATATTAAAGGAATTACAGAACAGCAGATCAACAAGCTTGAGATGATTAACAGGCAGAGCCCTGCTTTCCCTAGCTTGACAGTTCTGTACACCCTTACTGTATCTGAAATGTGTTTAAAGGTGATTTCTCATACTGTTTGGGAGTGGAAGGAGAGAGGATGACTTACAGATATGTTAGTGTTTTTTGCTTATGGACCCCGGGCTTACTTTTCAAACCCCCATCTTAACGATTCTGATCTTCCTCTCTATCATATAACAGCCCACAAATACCAAAATGAAGTCTTTGATATAGAGACTTACTCCTAAAAGGTCTGATAAATGACCTGGTTATACTAAACTGTTTCATTTAATAAGACCTGTTGTATCTAGATCAGCAAGATGTGGACAGAGAATGGGAAGCGTTCATGAATACCACAGAACCGTTATTCCACCAGTCATATGGGCTATGTACACGTGGGAGGGACGCGGAGGAGATGGGGATGCTGACCACAGGCTCCCGGCAGGAGATGGACTCAGGGCCAGACTGTAATGGCAGTGATGGACATGGATTCATGGGGAGAAAGGCATCCCAGAAGCAGATTAGTCAAGCAAAGGCACAGAAGCAAGAGTTAGTTGTGTGCAGGGATTGGCAAGCAGGCTGGCTTGGCAGAGGTAAAGGAAAAAGAAAGCTCAAAACAGATATGGGGTACAAAAGAGGATTTGGATGGAGACTTTGAAATCCTGGGCTGACAAGTCTGGATTATAGTACAGAGGTATTTTTGTCTTCTAATTCAAGGGTCCCATATTTAAGAATATTTATTAAAAAGTAATTCTCATTACAAACACTGAAGGCTATAAAACAATATTCCTTTGACATAGTAAAAAGAAAACGTTCTATGCTTTATTCATTTTCATATCCCTATGTGTCTAGCACAGTGCCTTGCAGATAGTAGATCCTTAATAAGTGTTTATGAACTCAATTTTGCTGCAGTTGGTATTATCTTGCATTTTCACAGAAAGAAAAGGTATGGTGTTTTATGGGACTCCTAATAAACAAACCCTGACCAAGAGAAAAGCTGGATCTTTGGGTAGAAGGTTCACGTTCATCACCAAGATTTACAGTTAGGAAAAGTATTAGCATTCTACAGGAAATTCTGCATAATGCTTTCCAGGGATTTCTCGTTCTCTACTGGACTGTGAGCAACTTGAGGGCAGAGTCCATGTCTTACCTGGCTGTGATTTGCAGTATCTAGTATAGGATGGGCGCATAGTAGGTGCTCAGTAAACGTTTATTGAAAGAATATAATACATGGGTCATAGCATAAATGGACGATGGTAGAGAACCATTTGCCAGGAAACATCCTCATATTATTTTAACGGCAATTATTTCCCTGATGAGTCAGTGTCATCAGACATTCTGACAGTCCCGAAGTCAAGGCCTTCTTTGTACCATACAACCTGGAATTTCCAACCACTAATTAGTATAGACTCAGCTGCTTATATATGGGGCATCAGTGGGTCTAGATTCTAGTCTCAGATTTTCCACTGACTTGCTGGGTGTCCTTGGGCAAGTCATTTCCTTCTCTGGGCTTGAGTCTCCCCATCTATATAAAATGAAGGGGTTGGACAAGATGATCCCCAAGATTCTAATTCTAGGAGTCTAAATATTAGGCCGCTAAATAGTTTTGATTTACTTAAAAAGCTGCTAGGTTTTTAAGACACTAAAACTCAATACTGCTAAGCTTTTGTTTCTAATCAAGATCTTCTAAACCTAAGAGTCAAACACAGCATCCTACCTAATTGTCACTGACATACACCAAGACCACAAATCCTTCCTGCAAAACTACCAGCAAATGATTAGAATGATTCCGAAAGTAAATCAAAGCAATGGCAAATGTTACAAGGAAGGATCTAAATTCAATCATGGCCCTCAATAAACAGGCCGTTTCATGAAGAGTTACTGGTCCTAAATTATGAAGGTCCCATCTAAAAAGGATGGCTAGGTGTCAGATATATGTAGATCATGGTTAAACGAAGATACTGTATATTGAAATGTGCATCAGGATTAAGATATTCACATAGCAATAACTCCTTCATACTTACCTTCAATGCTATACACAGGCCTTAACACAAGTTAAGACTGCCCTCGTTATCATCAAAAAGTACAGTGATGTCTACTGGATAAAGAGCCCATTCTAGGCACTGTGACAGTATCATGGCGGGCTTCTCATCTGATCAGGCATCTGGCCAGGGAAGAGATAAGCCTCCAAGAATGTTCAACTGGAACGAAACATCATTTAGAAATTTGATCTTACTAAACGATAAGGAACCATAATCTATAAGGGCTTGGCCAGGCACGAGGACACAGATAAAGCACGTCCAAGAAAGGAAACCTTATTTTGCCCCAGCCTAACCCTTAGGACTGCTAATGGAAACCAAAAAGTACTTTCTTAAAGATTTAGGGGTGGGAGATTATGGGATTTATACCATATTTAAAATTTTATAGTCTGTCTTTTTTTTCCCCAGATATAGTTCAACATTTTCCTGAGACACCATTTCTCTGTAAGTATGGTCCTCTGGGATGCCTGGGCTTATGTAACCTCTCAGGACCTTAGAGAAGGTTCCACTTTTTAGGCTTCTGGTTCCTACATAACTCTTTCTCCCAGAAATGACAGTGCAATATTGGGGCTCAGATACTAACATACCCAATAGCACATTATAGAATAGGCCAGATGTGTATGTGTATAAAACACCTTACTTGACCTGGAAACAAGAGAATACTCTTGCCCACAGCACATGTTTTTGTGCAATACAAACAAAGCATTCAATTCAAGTGTACTTGTTGAAAAACAGGACATAATTAAGCAGTTGGTAAAATGCATTCTTGTTTCCCACTTGCAGATCTCCCAAGAGTCCCTTCGAATTTACCTATACGAGTTTCAGCTTCCCGCTTGCCACTTAGCTTGATAACGACTCAAAAATCATTCCCTTGTTTTCAAGGGCTCTTCTTTCTTGTCTGCTCTGTGTACTACAGGGCAGTATTGACACATGGAATTAATGACAGGGTCTGTAATGAAACAACAGTCATGCAAACACCAGTCTGCTCTTTTGATAAAACAGCATGTTAGAGACCTATTCACCTCCCTCTAATTGAGTACTGCATAATAGTTCCGATCCTTTTATGTAACATATTTTGTTCTATGATTAGAAAAGAAGAAAAAGGGGGAGCCTATGAAGCATTGCTTCCTTCAATCACCCCGATTAATTCTCTGATTTTAATGAGGGTGGCTGCTATTTAGGCAGGTCCTGTTACCTACTTGTTTTGTTGACTTCTGTACAATGTATAACAAAACCCATGATGGGATAATTGGGAACCATTTCTTTGGCACAGGGATTCCTGTTCTTAATGTAAGGTTGGCTTGGAAAAAAAAGAACCCTGGCATTTAAAATTAGCCATTTCATATTTAATTCCCTTTCACATTTGAAAGATAGGATGAAAATTAGTATATAAATAAAGCATTTTAATTAACAGAGCTTTTCCAAAAGTGCCTGCAGTAATGGAGCCTGTGAGAGCCCGGAGAAAGAAGCTCTGTAATCTTTGCTATAATTCCAAGTCTGAGAGTGCATCTTATTTCAAGATTTCAGCATCAATGGAACAGTCCATATCCACTGAAGTACAATGGATTTCCCAATAACTTGTGATATTCTTAAGTGTTTTTAACGCTTTTTTCCTCACAGAAATTAAAACAACCTTTGGCACTGGTTAACATGTTCAGTTAAATACTATGAAAGAGTGTCCTTTGCTGGTCCTTCATCTTTCAGTTAATCTTTCATCTAATGGCTTCCTAGTGCTGACTGGTTGGTTTTACTGTTCTTTCACTAAGCCACTAACCCAGTAGGCAGGAGAGGTGTGGTGACTTTTCTATACCAAATTTGAGGTCTTCAAGCTGCATTTTTCAAAAACATTTCTGAGATCCTTCCCTCAGCCTCACCATTATGCTTTGGGATTGGGTACAGTTGGGAAGGTAAAATACGTAACATAAAAATATCATTCCCAAGACAAATGGATATGGCATGTTATCTACACCATGTCCTTCCACTTTGGGAGCTGCCTAAACAGGCAACAGTCCTGTAAATAAGGAAGTCTTTCTAAAGTTAATTTTCTTAATATGATCACACTGAATGTAAGAATTTGTTAGAATACCTATAATCATTCTATTTTCAAAATAGTTAAAAGAAAGACTTTATTAACATAGAATCATAGCAGTTTTACTGGTTTCCTTCATATGAAGTTGTTTCTGTTTGTCTTCTGTTTTTGATATAAGCTACATAGGACCTGACTTGATATTTGAGAAAAGCTCAACTATGGAATGAAAAAGCAGGAATGAATGGCCTCCAAATCTTAATTTTTTTGTCAGGTAAATATGCTTACTCTTTGTCTTCGTAAATATGCTTACTCTTTGTCTTCGTGCTTTGCATCTATTTAAAATTTAAAGTGTATTATTAAAAATAATCAGACTGACAAATCTGAGAGCTGTTTGTTGGTAATTTTTCAAAATAACATAAGATCTGGAATATGAAGACTAAGAACCAAATCCTGACTATGTCATTAACCAGATGCCTGATTTTGGTTCTGTCACTTCATCATTGGTCCCATTTACTCCTCAATAAAATATCTCTTGCCCTATCTAATTCACAGGGCTGTTTTAACAGTCAGTGGAAGTACTTTTTAAACTTTAAAGCACTATATAAATATTAGTCTTTCATTATTCTCATTTCTGTTAGAAGATCACATGCAAAGCTTCTAAAAATTTGCTATCCACCTCACATTGAAGAGCATGGTTAAGAAAATATAGAGAAAGAGGTTAGGGATAGTGCTAGAAAAATAAAACTCAGTTTTGTCCTTAACTGAAGGTGATCTTTATTTCTTGGTAATTTCTCTACAGAACCTTTCTTTCCTGTTGTCCAGAATTAGCAAAATAAATATTAATAAGAGGTCAGCATGCCAGCTGACACTGTTGAATAAAGCAGTAGAAATGGAAGTTCGTACATGCTCTTCTCAATGAGAAAGTCTTAAAAGTTAAAGGAGGAGGGTTACTCAGAGCAAATAGTCAATGGAGATTATTCTTATTTGATGTTTCTCTAATAAACAGAAGTCATTTCACCTAGTGCTTAAACCAAGAGCTCCAAGTAGGCATTCCTACTACAGAGTTAAAGGACAATGACTACTGATAGGCAATACAAAGTTTGCATGACGTCCTACTAAGAGATGTCTAGCCAGTTTCTCCAATTAATTCTCCCCTACCACTTTAAGGGTATATTAGTTTAACTGGATCCAAGTTCCCTTAATTAAGCTTCTAAGCAACACTGCAGTGTATTTTAATGATGTAGAACAGTGCTATCTAATACAATGTAAGCCATATATGTAATCTTAAATGTTCTAGTAGCCACATAGAAAAAATAGGTAAAATTAATTTTAAAATAATGTTTAATCCAATATATCAAAAATTATTTCAATATAAAATCCATATTAAACAACTGAGATATTTATTTTACATTCTCTTTTTGTACTGAGTCTTTGAAAGTCTGAGTATTTAACACTTACAGGACATCCCAATTCAGACTAGCCATAGTTATATATGGGTAGTGGTTACCATATTGGACAGTGCAGATCTAAAGGATTTTCTGATGTAAACAATTAAGATCTTGACACTTTCGTACCTAAATAGATCTCACAATGCTATAAAGACTGGATCATATTTCTGAAATGTACCTAAAAAGCATTTCCTTGATTAACTCATCATAAAGGTGGGAGTAATCACAGTTATTTTTGTAAGTAGAGTAAAGTAATTTAGTTACAAGAAAAAAATTATGTAGTTATTACTTTTCACTCATAAATTACCTGTCCCAGCTTCCATAAGTTTAAAAATAACCTTTGGTTTAAAGGGGAACTATTACTATATTTGATACTTGCATTTATTAAGAAAGCCATGTCCACCATGTCCCAAATACTACACAAAGGCTGGCAAAATATATATATTGGATAAAGAGGAGATAAGAAAAGGAAGAAATGGAAAACAATTATTTATATAAATGTAAATTTTAGAAGATTTTGATAGAATATATAAGCAATAAAGGCAATGCACCTTGTTAAACAGTGATGGGGTTAGGGTAGAGTAGAAGGTTAATCAGTCCTGGTTCCAATTAAGAAACTAAAGGGGATTAGAAAAGTCAAAACAAAACTGAAACTTGAGATATCACTCCCCTTGGTTAGCTTAGGCTTAAGCCAGTCAATCCTCTCTCCCCTTTTGTGGAGGAGGCCACGTCACTACATGAGGCTCGTGTGCTGTAGCTGAGGTGAATGCAGTTGTCTTAGCCACACTGGACTTGCTTAACCACATACAATCCCCGTTCTAATCTCCCGCTTAAATTGCAGGGGCTTATTTTTTTTCCAATTCAGAAAAGGAAAGAGGAGGTGGAGAGGCAGGCAACTTTCATCCCCTTTTCCACCTCTGTTCTCACATTAAAAAAAAATGTCAAAGGAAGCTTTCTATAATCTTATGCCTCAGGCCTTAATGCTTATGTCTGATAAATATTACAATTATCATTCTATATTAAAGAAGTTAGGTACCCCAATATTTAAATTAGCCAGTCGTGGGCCAAAGTACCTTATAGAATTCCTTTCCAGACCTGAATTTTATGACATCTGGCCAAGAAATGGAACTGACAAAAGTATACTTTCAAGTCTTTAAACCATGTAGGCTATTTTATTGAGCAAAAAATTAACCTTCGATTTGGGGATCTGCTTTATACATTATTTCATCATCACACACTGGGGAAACCACAGGGTACAAGGCACTGTACTAGCTAGACATGATGGGATTTATGGGGTTCAAATTATTCTCAAACTCTTAAGACCTCTAGGTCCATTGCCAATCCCCTTACCTACATCTGTCACAAATACAATCCTTACTAAAAAAAAAAAATCACTTGGAATATACTGTCAGTTGGTGGTCAATGGGAAGAAAATGTTTGAGCGCTGATCTCTCCAGTATCCTTAAAAATCTAGCTGAGATAAAGCTGCTAAGGTGGTGAGCAACTTGAGGCAGTGGCTATGTCCAGCATGGAGGCAAAATGGAAATGTAATTTTAATTTTTGCATTGGTGGTTTTACAGTTTTGGTGGTAAATAACATCTGTACCCTACACCAGGCTCAGTAACAGTACTTGGCATGACCAACCTTAGTCATCACTTTGGTAAGTGCTTTGGCACGGGCCACTGTTGCTAACCACCATCCTGGTGCAGGTCGTTCACATCTGCTCTCCTATGGATGGAAAAAAGGAAGTGTCTAGCGTCCATTCATTGGCCACATCACCTCCAATCCTATCCTTTACTCTCACGCCTTTCAAATCAGGCCCAGGAGAAAATGATTTCACTTTTGGAAAGAAAGTTAATCAGACAAAGCTACAGTACACTCTTGGCACAGCAAGACGTGGTGGGATGCGGAACACCCTCGGAGTGACAGTTGAAGGAACTAACCAATAGCACACTGCTGAAGAGGGTGATTAGGAAATGTTCTGGCAAACACTGACTCTGACAGACAGACACAGTAGCACAGTGGACAGAGCAAAGGTCTTGAGTTCTGGAAAATGAAGTTCTTAGCCTTACTTTAGCTAGAAAGACAATGTATGTGAAAGTGTTTTGTAAACTGTGAAAGGAAATGGATTTTCACCAGTCATTAGCTTGGAAGTGTTTGGGGCAATTCTTTGGGCCTTGCTTTTCCCCAATGATAAATCTGATAACATATTACTCAAATAATGATAAAATAACCTGAGCTCTTTGGAAGAAAGATGCAGTAGGTGAATAAAAAAGATTTATCTTATTAACAAGAGTAAGTTTCCCTCTACCTAGAATGAATGGTCATTTCTCCATTTGTCAATTCAATACCTCTTAAACTTCAAGGATCAGCACAAATGCTACCTTCCCTGTGAAAGTCCCTGATTTATCCCAACAGAATGAACTGCTCCTTTTCCTGGGTGCTCACAGTTCAACACAGACCTTATTTTGTCATTACTTCCTTCTAGAATACTCTGTATTCTAGAACAGATTACAGCCATATCCCACAGTAATAAGAAGTAATCATTTCCAAAGATACAGACTCCCACATTCACCTCTGAATCTCCCTCATCTTCCTAGCACAGTGCCTTGCACAGAGCAGCTGCTTAATAAATGTTCCCTGCATTTACTGAATTTAGTCTACTTTGGCTTTACGGCATCTTTTTAACCTCAAAAAACCAAACCAAAAACAACAGTGAAAAGAGAGAAGAAACTTAAGACAAACACATAAGACACATAAAGAATGGCTTCATTCTTTGCATTCCTGCTTTGGAATGCCCACTGCTAATCTCCATACAGTTTTGTCACTGATTGTTATTAGTGAGAGCAAATGTTAGAAAGCACATAAAGGCAGACAATGTAAAAATCCCACCACAAGTCATGAAAAAAGTCTGTGATTTAGGACTATTCTCAAAGTTGCCTTAGCTTCAACTTTAATGGCAAAATTCATACCATCAAAGCCAACACAAGACATATTTGCTCTGCTTTATACATGTGAAAATCAGTATCACCTTCAGATTGAGCTGGGCATCTGCTGGGTGTTTACTCATCTAGGGCAAATGGGCCAGTTGGATAGCATCTGTGTTATCTTTTAAGAACTCATATTATTGAAATGAAATTTATGAAAAATGAAATTTATTCAACCTAACTAGTTCACTGTCTTCACACTAATATGCTCTACTCAGGTCCTTGTTAACATTTCCCCCTCCAGCTTCTACCAGATGGGCTCTGTTTGTTCTCATCCCAACTGCTGTACTTACAGCACTGTTTCATTAGCTACCTCAGATCCTTTTGGAAGTACAAACCTTTTATATATTCATTCAGAACCTTTTACTCTGCCTCCTATAGGTTTGTCCTATCAGCATCTTCTCTTTTATTGTAAATTCATTCAGGGAAGGAACATGTATATTCTATCCAAAGGTAGGGAGAATGTCATATGCAAACAGATAACAATGTCTTTTGAAGACTGTGAGCATAGTGAGCTGTAAATTCTAACCTTCTTGGGAAAATGATGGAAATTTAAAAGGACTAACTGGAAGTCAACTAAATTCTAGTCATATTAGCTTTGTAGATGATGAAGCTACTTACTTCTATGTAACTTCCACCACATCACCAGCATCATGTGAAAACTCAGACTCTGCAAAGGGTCTAAATACCCTAACTTGTCACACTCCCCATGTCAGCCTCCTCTTATTTTTGAACACTTCTACTCTAAGCCTCCTGCTGTGCTCTTAGCCTCTGCTTGTTTCTTTATTACACCTTCCCTTTAATGGTTGGCTTTCTGGCTTTCCCATTCTAGTTGCTACTCCTCTTGATTGAGGGATACTAGCCTTTGCATAGCTGTTGTGAAAGAGGAGATGACCAGAAGAAATTCACCTTCCGGTGGCAGCTGCCACCAACACACAGAAGCACTCACTCAAGATGGCTTAAAGGAGACAGTGACTCAATGTACGACTAGAAAATTGAGCAATTCAGGCAAGTATGAAAGGAATTAATACTTTCTAATAACTCCTCCAAGATGACTAGTTGCTTATTAGTATATATTTAATTATTTTCAAAACTGGCTATCTGGGGAGGGGAAGGAGGTGTGAAGCAAGAAGGGAAGGGGAGATTGTTTTTAGAATCCCTAATTAATACAAGTGCCTGCTTTCAGAAAAATCCTTCATTTGAGCTATTCCTTTTCACTTTTTTCTATTGGGTGCGTGACATTTTAGAATTCTTGGTTTTATCAGCAATCCAAAAAGAAAGAACTGCAAACTTGCACATCAAAAATGGGAAAAAAAAAAAAAAGCATTATGATTTGGAACAAAAACCAAAACAGACTAAAACAAAAAATACAAGCAGCAGCAAAATCATTGAACCTAATTCACAGCATCTTTTTGAAGACAGGGAGGTTAGTTGGTTAAATATCACAATGACCTAGTAGTTACTATCCTAACTTTGAGAGTTTAAATGTTTAAGAATGCACATCCATAAGCGGCACATGTAGAAGAACCATGGTAGCCAAGAGAGATCTGAACTACTGCTGCCTGGGCCATCCTGTTCCAATCAACATGGATTTCCAGAGTTGCTGTTCTATGGTAACTCTCAGTGAGAGAGACAAAGAAATAGAACATTTTTAGAAACCAAGCAAAAAATGGATGGGAATACAATACCTGGAAAGTTTATCAAGCATGTTGACAAGTTTCATGGCTTCATATTCTTTTTGTTCTTCTGTCATTTCATCTATGGGGTTTGGCATTGGTTCCTCTAAATGACCAGTGATAAGATTAATGCTACAAAAAGAAAAAAAAGTTATGCTGTATGTTTTCAAATTATGCTCTTTCTATACTTTTCTGGTCCAAGTTGTAAGTTATAATAAGAAAGAGTATAATAGCCAAAAAATTGGCAATAGCAATTTTATGATATAGAACTGCTATAGGAATTTTTTTTGACTTTTCCTGCTAATTTGCTTTGGGAAATGGGTGATAGCGAACTTGCCAACTTTTTTTTAAAGGCACGGCTGCTTTTTAAAAATATGAAATTTGATTGGTGCCGTTAGGATAAATATCCTTGGATGCACAGCTTCTTCATTAATTATATAAGGGACAAATGATTTCAGAGAAGGAGAAATCTATTTTGTGATACAGCATAAAACAAATATGTCAAAAAATTGGAAAAATGATGACAGAGAGGCTGGAATCTGAAAATGAAAGCATGCCCATTTATAATCTCAGGAAATTAGTCCATTAGTGAGACCACAGAAGGCAATGAGTGTTTAAATAATAAAAGATAAAGCAAAAGAACAATCTTAATTAGATTTGATCTGACCTAGATTAAAAAAAGGAATGAAATCTAGCCTACCAAAAGACAGGTATACCATCTAGCTTTCTGGAAATAGATTTAATAAAGTACTTAAGATGAATACGTTCCATAAACTTTGTATGAAGTTCTAATACCAAACAAAACTATCCTCTTAATTAAAAGCCACATTATTATTATTTTTTTTGACGAGGTGAAATAAAAGATAATTCTTTCAACGGCTGCCAAATATTTATAGCTTAAACATCTTTCTGGAGAAGCAGACAAGAGGTTACAGCATTTTGTACCAGCCAAGTACACACAGTATGTTTTTAATGATCAAATGAAATATCCCTGCAAATGGCAAATCGCTGATAAGTTACTTTCTAGGGTCTACAAACACAAATGGTTTCAGGCGCCAGGCCTTAAGGATATGCAAATGAGTGAATTGGTCAAGTATAAATAACATGGAGTATTGAGGACTAGGGTAAAATGGAGAACAGTGCTAGTCTAAACAGGGAAAAAAAAATCATGCGGGCCAAAACCAAGACACCACGATTAATTACATCATCTGGTGGCTAGTTTGCCAGCCCTGCTTTAGACTTTTACTTGGGCAAGTTAACTTTCTTTACAGAGCAGGGCTTTTCTCACTTGGAGCAAGGGCTAGGTACATCTGTTACAAAAAAAATATTTATTTTCTACATTCCTCAGAGGCTGCCTGACATACAGATTCTTACAGAAGGACTCAATGCTCACCATCCTTAAACACCAGATCTAAAACATCTGTTTTGCCATTCTTTCATAAGACCTATGTCTAGAGCCATGGTTAAAAAACTTTTTCCTTCAAGCAGTGGAACCCCTCACCCTTTTTATTTTAACAAATGAAATCTACATAGAAAGCTGATTTATGAAATAGATGAAACTGGAACTGCTCAGGCAGAAGAGGGGATAGGGACAGCCAAGGAGAGTGCAGGCCTAGAATCCCTTCTATTTGTCCGCACTCACTTGCTTCCTCTTAAGGCAGCCCCTAAGGCACTTTCAGGAACTCTGGGGAACCAGTCTGAAAACCCATAGGCTTCTCAGTGATTCTTAGCCTTGGCTATACATTGGAATCACTTGAGAAACTTGAAAGACAGGCCTCACCTGAAACCAACTAAATCTGTTTTGGTTTTTTCTCCAGGTGATTGTGATGCACATTGAGGTTAAGAACCACTGGGATAGAGTGCCTACTTGAGACATGCATTGTGTGCGACTAGTCTCTCTCCCTTTTTTCAGGTGCTCATAAAAGAAAAGAAAAAGGCGTCTAGTTGGTGGCCATTAACAAAAATGCCAAACGGGGTCATCACCAAAAGTCAAGAACAAAGAGGACCCAGACGAGGCTTCTGAGAACTATGGAGTTTTTAAGAAGTATCCAAATGCCACAGTGAAAATGTAATTCCACCACCCATACTATTATTTGCTTAGGTGTATAACGACGGGACATATTTTCACTGGTTTCTCTTCTGCTGCCTGCTAAATTAGAAAAAAACATATAGTCTTATAAATAAGTAAGTAAAGGTACTTATTATAGGCACATACCACTTACCAAGCAGACAAAGGCAGTAAGGCCTTAGAAGAAAGTATAAGGGAAGGTAGATGTATTAACTATTTAGACCATGCTCATCTGTCTCTTGAGAGAAGGCTTCTCTCCTCAAGCTCAATGGAAGGGTGACTTAAATCAGATCCACACACTGTTTTAGAAATATAATGAAATTAGCACAACCCATCATGTGCCTCAGGGAAAAAATCTGTCAGGAGGACACACTGGTCATATTGTGGATACCACAGCAAACAAAGTCAGGACATGCGTTCCTGGATCAGGGCACATTTGATTCTTTTCTTGGTTCTTTTAAGGGCTTAGTGGAAATGATGTCTGTTTTCCATAAGCTGACCTCAAGTCCGCTGCTGCTAAAATGATTTAATGTCTTGCTGTGAAATTAGCTACTAAAGTCACAAAATCCTTTGCTCACTGAGCATGAAAGCAGCAGCCAGAAATTCACTCTTACAGAGTAAGAACTTACCATCCTTTACCCTTGTAGTAAAACATTCCAACCCCCCAAAATCACTCCAGGGATTGAGGTTTCATCTTTTTTCCTTGAAAAAACACCCCCTACCCCTACCCCCATCCCAGTACTCAGAAGAACATAAACAAAGCCACAGCAAACACAAGTTGCTGAACCATGCTACTCTCCTATGGGAAAAATGCCAGTGTTCTGGGGGCAGGAGGCAGACTTGGACACTGTCTCCCCTCCAGCTCCCCACTTCAAACCAATCTCATGTAGCTTCTACTCAGAGGAAGAGAAAACAAATAGTCACCACCGCAGCAACAGAGTGAGGTTTCATAAAAAACTACTTTTGAAAAAAAAAAAAGACTATTTTTGGTTGAACAAACACTTGCCACCTTTATAACCTTGAACAGTATAGTCTGAGATTTAACTTTCCAGGTTTCAGGATCTTAACACTGAAATTCTGGGATTGGTTTTTTGTTCCAAGACTCTGAGTCCTAAGATACTTTAAGTATACTAACTGTTAACTGTGGTGGATATTTTATTGGATAATTTTATATTTATCATAATTTTTCCCACCCTGTCTCTGCTCCCCTCCCCCATCTTCTCAGCACTCCAATCCTGTTTTATGTCTTCCAATTAGGTGACAAGAAGTATCCAAACTCTTATGTGTGATATGTCACCAAGACTTTTGTATTATATAAGGCCATTATATGACAGCAGCTGGAGACAAAAGGATTAAGACCTGCTCTTCAAAATGTTGCTACATTTGGCCAACATCAACAGTACTACGCTGGTTCACTGAAGAGAAAAAGCTATTAAATGTTCCCTGAGCTACATGAAAGTTAACATCTATCTCTAAAAAATGTGGATTAAATTTTGCTCAAAGCACCCTGGTTAACGAAGAGGCTATAAAGTCAAGTCCCTACAGAGGCTAAGGCAGATAAGATGAACGAAAAAGATACATTATCAGGGGATTGGTTCAAGATGGTCGAGTAGAAGGATGTGCGCTCACTCCCTCTTGTGAGAGCATGGGAATCACAACTAACTGCTGAACAATCATCAACAGGAAGCCACTGGAACTCACCAGAAAAGATACCCCACATGCAAAGACAAAGGAGAAGCCACAATGAGACAGTAGGAGGGATGCAATCACAATAAAATCAAATCCCATAACGGCTGGGTGGGTGACTCACAAACTGAAGAACACTTAATACCAGAGAAGTCCACCCACTGGAGTGAAGGTTCTGAGCCCCATGTCAGGCTTCCCAGCCTGGGGGTCTGGCAACAGGAGGAGGAATTCCTAGAGAATCAGACTCTGAAGGCTAGTGGGATTTGATTGCAGGACTTCAACATGACTGGGGGAAACAGAGACTCCACTCTTGGAGGACACACACAAAGTAGTGTGCGCATTGGGACCCAGGAGAAGGAGCAGTGACCCCATAGAAGACTGAACCAGACCTACCTGCTAGTGTTGGAGGGTCTCCTGCAGAGGCGGGGGTGGCTGTGTCTCATTGTGAGGACAAGGACACTGGCAGCAGAAGTTCAGGGAAGTACTCCTTGGCGTGAGCCCTCCCACAGTCCGCCATTAGCCCCACCAGAGAGCCCAGCTAGACTCCAGTGTTGGGTCATGTCAGGCCAAACAACCAACAGGGAGGGAACCCAGCCCCACCCATCAGCAGTCAAGTGGATTAAAGTTTTGCTGAGCTCTGCCCACCAGATCAACATCCAGCTCTACCCACTACCAGTCCCTCCCATCAGGAAACCTGCACAAGCTTCTTAGAATAGCCTCATCCACCAGAGGGCAGACAGCAGAAGCAAGAAGAACTACAGTCCTGCAGCCTGTGGAACAAAAACCACATTCACAGAAAGACCAGATAAAAACGCAGAGGGCTAAGTACCAGATGAAGGAACAAGATAAAACCCCAGAAAAACAACTAAATGAAGTGGAGATAGGCAACCTTCCAGAAAAATAATTCAGAATAATGAGAGTGAAGATGATCCAGGACATCGAAAAAACAATGGAGGCAAAGATCGAGAAGATACAAGAAATGTTTAACAAAGATCTAGAAGAATTAAAGAACAAACAAACAGAGATGAACAATACAGTAACTGAAATGAAAACTACACTAGAAGGAATCAATGGCACAATAACTAAGGCGGAAGAACGGATAAGTGACCTGGAAGAAAGAATGGTGGAATCCACTGTTGCAGAACAGAATAAAGAAAAAAGAATGAAAAGAAATGAAGACAGCCTAAGAGACCTCTGGGACAACATTAAACGTAACAACATTTGCATTATAAGGGTCCCAGAAGGAGAAAAGACAGAGAAAGGACCCGAGAAAATATTTGAACAGATTATAGTCGAAAACTTCCCTAACATGGGAAAGGAAATAGCCACCCAAGTCCAGGAAGCCCAGAGAGTCCCAGGCAGAATAAACCCAAGGAGA